GTCCTCCATCATTGTGCCTGTGCCCAAGAAATCTGCTGTCACCTGCTTCAATGATTACCGCCCTGTTGCTCTGACACCAGTAATCATGAAGTGCTTTGAGAGGATCATGCTAAAGCACATCAAGGACATCATCCCTGTTGGTCTGGACAGCCATCAGTTCGCCTACAGAGAGAACCAATCAACAGAGGATGCTGTCTCAACAGCATTCCACACAGTCCTGTCCCACCTGGACAATCCTAACACTTATGTCAGGATGCTATTTGTTGACTTCAGTTTGGCATTTAACACTAATCCCAGACAAACTGGCACTGAAACTGCACAATCTGGGAATGCCTGCAATGATGTGTCATTGGATTAAAGACTTTCTCACTAACAGGCCTCAAGTGGTGAGAATCGGAAGCTGCACATCATCCACACTGGCCCTGAACACAGGCACACCACAGGGCTGTGTGCTCAGCCCAGTTCTCTTCACTCTGTTTACCCATGACGGTGAGGCCATTCACTCCACAAATACAGTTGTGAAGTTTGCGGACGACACCACCGTAGTGGGTCTCATCTCAGACAATGATGAGACTCACTACAGAGAGGATATCCATCACCTGACAAGGTGGTGTTCAGATAACAATCTTGTCCTGAACACCAACAAGACTAACAATTATATACTGATTATATATCTGAACACATCCTACCTGGTGAAGAAAGCCCAGTGAAGGCTTTTTTTTCCTCTGTCAGGACAGAAAGGACTTGACCCGGGTGGTGAGAACAACTCAGGGCATCGTAGGGAGTCCTCTTCTGGATCTGGATTCACTAAATGCTGTTCGGATCCAGAGGAAGGTAGGACGGACTGCTGCAGATCCCACCCACCCAGGCAACAGTATGTTTGTGCCTCTTCCCTCCAGGAAAAAGTACAGATGCATAAAGACTCAAACAAACAGACTGAGACACAGCTTCTTCCCCAGAGCTGTGAAATCAATCACCCCCCTAACCCCTAGTCACACACACACATACACACACAGTCTCCCCCCTATGGACAGACACAGACAGAACACTGGACCTCTGCAGACACACACCCATGCTCACACCTCTTCCTAAAGACTGAGATTTGCACTGAGCTGCACTTTATAATGTTATGCTACTACACTGACATGCTGCTGACCTGATTAGGTCCCATACATCCTTCTTTATTTGTTCATAATTTTTTATTGACTTATACAATTTTGTGTTATGTAAATAATGTCTTTTAAGCCAAGAGCTGCCGTAAAAAATTTGTTGTGCTATGCATAATGACAATAAAGATTCTTGACCTTCTTGAAGTATATGTTTATCAATTGATTGATTGATTTTAAACAGACACTATGATGTTTACTTTCTTTTTAGCAGGGCATGAAAAAATTGTAGAAAACATAATTATGATTGATTGTTCATTCTTTATGTTGGAAATAATATATAGGCCACACTTACAAAAGTTTACTGATAAATAAAACTATTCATGGCAAAAGCATGCTTACTTTAGTAACTGTATGCTGTCAAAGACTTTTATTGTACTGAATGCAATGGATAGAAACAGTTTATCTAGACAAACTAGGCTAGCCACTGTTTCCTTAATGTGATTATGTGTGAACTAATGTCTTAATGTGGTCCCATCATTGAAATGTTGGATTTTTTCATAGTCTTCACAAAAACTTGTAACATTAACACTCTCTTAGCATGAAAGTAATACAATAATAATCCTGCAATCCAAAAAAAAAATAAAAAGCGGAAGAGAAAGTAGCCTAAATCATTTTACTGTACACCCAGCCTATGTAGGTGGTTTATATGAACACCAGGTGGCGATATGTAACTTTATTTCGATAAACATTAAGAATAGAAGAAGAGCTCTGTTGACTTAGCTACCTAACACGATAGTAGTTGGACATCTACTTAACGTGATCATCAAAATGCTTCTACAGTCTGTCAGACCCTGGTTGCTTCGTTGCCGGAGTTTACCTTTGGCTTACACAAGACCTTACTACGCTGATAAAGTCGCTCGACTCGGCTCTCAGCCGGACAAACAGTCTCCTGAATATCAGGTAGTTTAGTCTTTCGCTAACGTCAACTAGCACCACTCGCTGCTAATGTCAACTTCATGTAGGTGAGGTGGCTCACACCTGACAGACAAGTGTAAAATAACGCTACATACAGCTAATGTTGTCAAGCGTAATGGGTCGTCTGGACTGTAGATTATGTTATCCCCCAGAAGCTAATTCTAGCCAGTTGACTCGCTAAGGTCAAAACCTTGAGCTGTTATTGTGCCCAGCCAAGGTCCTACTGTAGATAGCTGCATTTCTGCTAGCCACCGATTTTCCTGCAGGTTTCAACAGTTCCATGCGACCCTTGTTCCTCCTGTCATAACAGAATAATCCTGGTGGTTCGTTATTCCACCAGCTCGGTTTTTACTGAACCAATCTGTAATCATTTTTAGCTTGGACATTTCATAACTTGGAGTACAATGCACTGAATACTGAGTATATTTTTGAGAAACTACACCCTTTCAAATAGGGGGCCTTTTGTATACATTTGTCTGGACCAAATGAACTGATGTTGGCTCCAGATGCCTTTAACTTACAGCTGTATATACTGTACTGTACATCTCAGGTATAACCTAGGAAAAGATTGCTAGAACCAGCAGGGCAGTGGTACTCAGTGACCGGAGTTAAGAACCTCTGTTCAAGAGTGTGAACAATCTAAATAATGAGTTTATTTTCAGAAAGTGAAATAATCCAGGGCAAAATCTGCTAGAAACACCCATTGTTCAATTGTAACCTCAGCTAATAAGATAAAGGTGGATACCAAAATCATTACAATATTATCAATGCCTGTATATCATTAATATATCCTATCATTAAAATATAAAAGAAATTCAGGCCAATGCAAATTAGTGTTGATGCTCTTATTGCTTTTAATCATAAGGTTCAATGGTGCAACCACATTTATGTAATATCCACGTTTATCAACCTACAGCCACTTCATCCTCTCTGATGCAACACCCAAAAGGTATCACTGGATGGCACTACAGGAACATTTTCTGCATGTTTCCGGTTTGGAGAAAGACTTGTTTAAAATATAGCAACATGAACAGTCTATTAGTGCTGTCCCAAATGGCAGTTTCTGGGCTCCGGGTGTTCAGTGGTAATAATTGGGGTGTTAATGGGCTAAGATTGTGCTGCTGCACACAGTACCTCTTTGCCCATCTGGCAGTACTTTGGGTAAAAAAAAAAAAACAACACAAAAAGCTAATGAAAGTTATTTTGCAATATTTAATGTAGCAGATGAACAGATGACGAATAATCATAACCATTGGCGTATACACAGAATATGCTACATTTCCGTCATTGATGTGAGATTGACTGGTAGTTTTACCAGTGAAGATGTCTCACTTTGTTGGAACTGTTGGAACAACAGAGGAGAGAAGCACTCAGTTCACTCTAATTATTCAGTGGTGTTACAGAGTGATGCCTCTTAACTCATAAACGGTCTTCGGCTAACAGCATACCGCATGTTGTCTTGTTGTCCACCGGCTGCAGCCAGGTCACAAGCCTGACAACAGCCACTTTCCTTTTGTCCTGTCGTCAGTTTAAGTCACGGATTTAGTTAATGAGGGCAGCACGGTGGCGCAGTGGTTAGCACCGTTGCCTCACAGCAAGAAGGCTCCGGGTTTGGGCCCCACCCGGGACC